ATCCCCTCGCTCGCTTTCTGAATAATAAGCGTCGTAACATGCTCGTATTTTATTTATTGGAATTAACAAAACAATCCTTCACATACCAATAACGGTCGAATCGTCACTTGATGCGACACCGTTGTCTTTTCTGCTTGAATGAAACTCGTAACTTTATACTCACACACGAAACCATAAACATTTCCAATGTTAAACATCCGCGAACAGCCAGTTAGTACGTCGGGTACATGGCTAGAATAGGGAAAATACTGCACTTTTTGATTGGAATATGCCACTTTCTGTGGTAATAGTTAATACCAAAAGGCAACTTTTGAGATAGGGAACCACTCGAAAATCCGTGCAGGAAACCAAAATGGTGGCCGTCAAAATGGCGCCATTAGCCGCAATATATATTTTTTGTATCTCTGCTCCTAATATTCCGATTTTAATTTTCTTTTTTTTTATTGAAAGCTCTTGTGACGAGGAAACTTTCTCTTTTTCTCTCAAACTTAAGAATTGAGCACAATTTTAAAAAAGTGTTCTTTTTACGAATTTGAATCACAAGTAAGCTCTTAATTGTGCAATATCCAGGTCTTTCCGACAAAAAAGGCCATCGTTTAGAAATTCAATCGATACAACCCCAAAACTCCTTGTATCTACCCTGCAAGTTCGGAAAATTTCAATCCGCCATGTTTTTTTTTTAGAAAAGATGCGCAATATTTGTTTCATCAGGCACGAGATCAAGCATTATGAAAATTGAAAGGAAAAGCCTCGTCAATTTTTTTCTCTGAAAAACAGAAAATACACTCTGCTTTTAAAGTAATTAAAGAAACACTCAGTATATTAACTTTAACTCTTACTCTCTCTCTTACTTATCCTATTTTATTTAACTAGTTGGTTTAAGCTACGAGGAATGTGAAATTTGGAGTACTTATTTATCAGATCATGGGTTTTTTCGAGGGATTTCTCTCGGGTTTTCTTTAAGAATATTATGATTTCCAAGTTTTAGATACCTATTCATATAAGTTGAATCATTTTTATTATACAGGGAATCCAGCTTCTGTAAGTGGACGATAGAGCCTCAATGGTTGAGATTAATGGTAACGGTTTGTTGGTGAGGGGAAGCCTAAAACGTATTTTTCGGTATATAGGGTGTTCTTGAGGCCAGCCTAACCATTTTGATATTTTTTATAGGTATACCCGGGTATCCCTTAACAAGAGAATTATTTTTGTAGGTCTTATCGGTTTTTTTTCGTAATGCTAACCGCGAGGCTAACCGTTTTCCGGATATGCTTTTTATACAGGGTGAAAATTTTATCTTCAAAACATTTTTTAAAAAAGCTTTTTATGACATCCATAATTATAAAAAGTTTGCTACTCCACGTACATTCAATTTGGGGTCAGTAGCATACTTGTGCACGGTCAAAGGGGGCATACTGTTTTTAAATAGCAACCACTATTTTCTTGACGTAGTGAATTATTTGTCGATACAAATTGATACAATAAAACTCGTTTTTGAAATAATTGAATTTTAATATTTCTTTAGCTAATCGACTTCGAATCGTATAGACCGATTCATCATCAGACCTTAAGAGTCAGAATATTGTGCTGAATAATACAAATCCTTACATATTAACATTTGACGTGGACAAGTTACATATAAAAATCGGGTTGAGCTTACTTGTGATACTTGTGTGCTAAATCCTTAAGTTTTAAAGATAAATGTTATATAACAAAGACACAAGAGCTTTCAATAAAAAAAAAGAAAATTAAAATCGGACTATTAGGAGCAGAGATACAAAAAAATATATTGCGGCTAATGGCGCCATTTTGACGGCCACCATTTTGATTTCCTGCACGGATTTTCGAGTAGCTCCCTATCTCAAAAGTTGCCTTTTGGTATTAACTATTACCACAGAAAGTGGCATATTCCAATCAAAAAGTGCAGTTTTTTTTGGCGTACCCAACGTACTAAGTGAATGATTCAGAGCTACATATTACCAATGAGGGGCAGTTGCAGTAGAGAAACTGTGCATTTCCCCCTGAAACGAGAAACGCACTTTTCAAACTTTCGCTAAAACACACTGGCAAGTAATTACACTTCACAAACAATGACATTGTTTTCGAGTCTGTGTCGGTTTGTGATTTTAAAATTACACAGTCATTCAAGTTGTAGAAAAAACAGAATGAGAAGTGCAAATATTGACGCAATGTCTTTAACTTTTAAACCGCCTTTGTTTAAAAGCAAACAATTCCGGGACGAACAGAAATTTCTCCTCTGGTTCGTTCGACATAATTTATAACAATTAGGTGCTTCGGAGGTAATTGCTCGCGAAGGAAAAAGATTTTAATAATAATAACGGGCGCTGCGAGGACAGGGATTACGGTTCGGTCGTGTATATATCCTTATCGCTTATTGCACCGTTTAATTAACCGGTTTGCACAACCAAATTGCATGCTTCCCTCATAATTAGTATCACCTTCAGAAATATCGTGTTGTCTCGTTTGTCAAAGATTGGGGAAATGGGGGTCTTTGCCTTGATAAAGTGGATTTTAAATGGAGAAAGCTCTCGTGAAAGAATAATTGCAACTGTAGGTACATGTTCGAATCATAAGGGGTTGATGGGGATGAACTCATTGCAAGAAGCCCGATTTGTTTTTGGATAAAACGGCAATACAGAAAATAAGAAACGAAGACAGAAAATTCGTTCTAAAGAGCATAATGCCGCACCTATGCTTGAAACTAACCACAGAATAGGCTAGAAGTAAAAGTAACTGATTGTTATGAAAGTTTTCAAAGACAAACGAGTCCTTTCGAATTATGAGGGAGGCCTATTATGCCCCTCAGAGTACGTAAACTTACAATTTCGCGTGTAATTGGTTCGCTGATGCTCGTTTTATTGTAGTTTCTTAGTGCTTTTGTTTCCACTGGAAGTCCATTGACTCATAAAATAAATAATATTGGTTTATTATAATCCAAAATCTCAATTTCCAACATTAAAATGCAACCTTTTCCCACTTGTAAAACCATCAAAAGAAATCTATCTTCCGAGATCTACGTTTAGCAAACCCTCGACAGCTAATTGCTAATTCTTTATGTTTATTTATTTAATTATTCACTAAATGAAAACGGAACCTCCGATTTAAAAGCTAAATGGATCCGTATATAGCGTGTGGTATTATAACTTGATAAAAATGATAAAAACATAAATATTAAAAGCGCTTTCGCTACTCACTTCGGTGTAATATAAATTTATATCTTGCACACGGTGCAAGTCCGTTCGACGATAATAATCGACCACAATTGTGACTTTCACTCGATGAACCAAAACCTTCCTAATTTACGAACGTTGTTTTAGCCGACATTTCATTTGGACAGACGTGGCGAACTGGAAGATTGAGATAAGGCCCTTTTATTCCTGGCTTTCCAACTCGTAATAAGTACACTTCAGTCTAAATAATTAGATCGGGGTGTATTGATATTGTTGTGCTTTCTTATTGCAAAGTAAATATTATATTTTACGTTATTCACTTATTTCGAAAAATGATAGGAGTCTTAAGGTTTTATTTATGATTCATAACTCTTGTCTTATCCCCAACATTGAGGGAGGAAAACCGTTTCTCGCATCAGCTACCAATTTATTAGTATTTCAGTATGCGAATTTTCCTTTCTGTGAATCAACAATAAATTAAACAATTTCTTTAATAGTATATTAAGATACAAGTGTATAATCAAGTCTTTAAAGCACGCGCAACGAGTTTAAGGGCACGACGCAAAGCGGAGTGCCTTTAACGTTGCAAGTGCTTTAAAGACTAATTATACACGTGTATCTTATAGTATTTTTTTATTATACCTGCAGTATAATTTAAAAATAGGAAATACAATGAAGTCATATTGACGTTATACTCGAATACATGTCTAATTAAGTGGGCTGGGTGTTCGTAATTTCACGATTGCCATGGAAATGTCACTTGACGTTTGCTTATAAAAATCGTCGTCTTTGTGAATAAAACGATTTCCGTTGAAAAAGATAATACACCGCCCATTAAATCGATTGTTGTAAAATCTAAACAAACGTTGGTAGGTGTAAAATCCAACTCCTGTAAAGCCTATTATAAAGTGGATGAATAGGAAGTTACTTACGAATACAGTCTTAAATGCATCCATAATGCTGGCATATATGAAAGAAATGTCAAAGGTATTTAAATCTTCTATATTTTGGTGCATTCATTCAAAACTTTAAAGAAATGCTGCGATTAAAAAGTGGAACCGATTTGGAAGCATGCCCTAAATTACGCGCGTTTGTGAATGCTTCAACCAAAGCATAGGTACAAAAGCCAAAGATATGTTCTGCATTTACAGAAAGCGACCTAAGAGGAGTTTTTATTTCATCTAGATGACAGTTTCAAAAGTCATACTTGAAGTATCGTTACTTAGCAACTTTAAAGCACGTGTGTTTTAAAGGCCCTTTTTCGCACGCATTTGAGTGTTTAAAACAGAGATTGTGATTCAGGTATAATAAAAAATATTATTTGCAAAACCGATCGGACCAAACTTGAGGTTCGGTTCGCTTTCGCTATGACTTGTGCTAGAGAACGGAAACGCAGCGTACAGAATATAAAAATGTAAACACCTTAACACGGTACACGAAACAGCAGAGTGCGACATCAACGAAAAAAGTTTCCAAAAAAAATTATATAATCCGATCGGGCTCATTAGTGAATTTAAACCAGTAATTAAAAAACAAAGACCCTATAGAAAACAAACTCGCAGAAATACATACACGTCCGTTTCACTGCACCCAAAATTCTCGCAATTGAATCTGATGTAGTTGGGAAATGACCAAGTATCGATTTCGTGGTCAACTAGAGGTAAAAATGGTTATTAATTGAAATCGACACGAAAAGCCTGATGTAGTGTAAGTGCATTTTTTGTAAATACGAGAGCTCCATTAACAAATATCGATAGGTTACATCTATATTGCAAATGACTGCGACCTTTTTATTTATTGTGTAATTTTGTTACAGATCATGTACGAGAGTTCACCTGCGGGAAGTTATATTACCGTACGTTTTATTTGGATAGCCAACGTGATTCGCTCTACGTGGGAGCAATGTAAGTTTTTCCTTTACTTCTGCTATGGTTAATAAAAGTTTATTGGTGCGCTTGCATCGCAATTAAAGCAAACACTTATACAAATGGAATCTTCTAATACCAATTAGTGGTAAACGTTTAAAATGGGTCAAAAAGTATAGGTAGCTATTCGTGATGTTTTTGCATAAAGCGTTTAAACATTAATATTCAGTGAAATATTATGGCTATAATATGTTTTTGATTAATTACCAAAAAACACGCGTAATAAGATTCATTAGACAGTACTAAAGGCTCTCCCGTTGTATATTTAATTTTATCAGTTTTTCTTGGGCGTCCCTTTCAGCTAGCACGGGCATATTTTACGTTTGCTTCTAATTAAACGCATCAATTCAATTAGGCCGCTTTTGCAGCTCCCGAAACAATTTCTCATTATTTAAAATTGAGCGAACCGAAGCGATTTCGTACGCTTCTCATTCTTCAAAATGTAAAACAAACGTCGTTAGGTAAAATTGAGTGGATTAATTACGGCTTATAAATTACAATTAAATTGGGCTTCGATATTTTTTTCCCGTTTAGCTTTATTAAATTCTACTCGTTATTTCTCAATTTAAATTACGTGCCTGAAAAACAAGTGCGTTTCAGTTACTACCGTTACTGTTTTGTTATTTTTGAACCGCTTTCTGATTATGATCCGTTGAGCGCACATTTGGTGTTATATTATTAAAAAATTTGTCGGTGTTAAAACTGGCGGCTCTTTGTATACAAACATGAGAAAAGAAATTGAATAAAAATTCATAATTTAGTGCGTAAGAAAATACGAGAACATATAAAATGCATTACGCGCACAATCAGGCGATGTCAGAGAAACCTTCTTCGGGACAAAAACCCTGGCATAGCCCACACAAAGACAACAAAAGCAAAAAAAATCCAACATTTCAAATTGTGTAACAATAAAAATCAGAATCAGAACCACAGTAGTAGTACCGCATGCCATATTCCAATGCCATCTCATCAGCAGCAAACCGCTTGTAAGGTTTGTTTATAAAATAGTAAATTTTTAGTCTCGAAAAGTATTGCTACGAATAAACCATACTGCATGGAATACCTTGCAACAATCTCCGGCAATTCTCCATTTCCCAATTATTTTCCGTAAACCCAACCAAACGGACGCCTCAATGAAAACCAATTTTTCGAACGTGCTCACTTACAATCACGTCGCTATTTTCCCATCTACACCAAAACTCGTAACGAGCCAGTCCCGAAACCCAACAACGACACAATGATCAAAATCCTTACTATGAGCGAAAATCATTCACCGATCTACTCCTACATCTTCGAGAGAAGTAACCGTCACAATATCCGCTAAAATCAATGCAAAAGGCCTCGTCAAATGTTCTGAAATAAACACTCCCAGTATTGACTATAGTATACTTTAAACTTGCAGGTGAAATAGCACCTTGAAATGTGGTTCACAGCCATAATCGATCATTGCGAATTGGAATAAAATAATTTGAAGATGGCGCCATCTTGGTTTTTTAATGGAAACATGGGGCCATTTTTTTATGCCTACAACGCATTTAACATTTACGTACCTATCTGTCGTAGGTACTCGTAGTTTTTGACATGTATCAATTTTTCTAAAACTTTAGAAATCCATTTTATTTTATTGGAGAACGTTTCAGAACTCTTGAGGGGCTATCTGGAACTGAAAAATTTGACCAAGAAAAGGTCCCAAAAATTTCTTTTGGCGCTTGGAATATTAAAAAAAACCTCTTGGTACAAGGTTCCAATATTACAAAAGGTTGAGGAACTGTCCAGAGAATTCTTAACTAATTCCAAGAAATCCCCAAGTAAGAAAGCTCTATATAGCAATCCTAGTCGGAAGATATAATAAATGAGACGCATTTGCGCTAGTTTAGTGCTCTTCTATATTTTTGAGACTTTTTCGTACATATTCCAAGTTCCAAAGAAATACTTTGGGGTCCATTTTCTAAAAATGATGTTCTGGATAGTCCCTCGAGCGTTCTGGAAGTGTGTCTAATATGGTTTTGACTGGGGACATTATAAAAATAATGACGGATTGTTATCTTTGGTACTAAAAACCACAAAAACAGTTTTTCGTAATGGGTTGGTATATAGTTCGAGCTCGACAGTCCTCGCATAACCCCTTAATTATTTTAAAATAGAGTATCGGATGTTACCGTTCTAAAGGGTTGTAAAAGTTTCTATGTACGCTGTTCAGATTGAAGGTGTACAATCTACCTACCTATAAAGTTTAGCATTTGTCGTTGTATGGGATGTATTTGATATGTTTGGTAGAATTTTGAAGTTCTGTGCCTCGAATGACCCTATAAGACGCTGAAACATTTTATAATGAAGTTTTTCATTCAATTTCTTGCGATTTGTTAAACGTTTCCATAAGAAATAGGTGAGAACAATAATTGTTCCAGGAATTTTGCGTGATCTCCCATATTTGCAAACTTGATTTTTCATTATTTAAATGCCAGAACTCTTTCTAAGAACTCGAGATCGGTCCCAATGCTTATTCCTAGTTACTTGGTCTTAATTTTGCAGTAAATATGAGAAAACACAAATAATCTATACCTAACTTTAGTTGTGGGTAGTATTATATTTTATTCGAATATATTGTAGCGAGTATGTCAGACATCGGAGCGTCAGCAGACTCCATCAAGTCTATAAAAGATTAGTCACCGGCGATAAGGGATGAAGGCGGGATGCATTCTTTCCCTGCCATATGATATGCGTTCTAGACTATTAGAGAATATTCCGTAATTTTTTCTAGAAACTTTCTGTTTGCAATATATAAGCAAACTGAAGCGTGTTTATGGAGTTTCAATTCATTAATAATTAATATTCCATAAATAAATCATGTAATTGAATTTACATTACATAGGGGGTGTTTTTTTGGGACCTTTAGTTCCGGGAAAGTGAAATAGTAAGATTTTTAATATTGTACTTAGGAGTTACTCTAAGGGCCGAATCGAAATAAAATATTTTCAAAATGGTGGCACTACCAGAAGTAGCTAGTCATTTATTTTAAACGGCAACCCCTATTTTTTATTGCAGCTTCGGATTCTACCTGAAATTTCGGTTCTTTTGATACCCACAGGATAATATTTACAATTTATGGTTTTTACATAATTTGGCGGATGGGGGATGCTGACGGTACCTTGAAAATTGATTACTTGAAAACGGCTGTAGTTATGACTTTCTTTTAGTGTATTTAAAGGGTGCATACGACCGCACCTATGGAGATCCAAATTTAAGAAATTTCAAAAACTAAAAATTCAGTTTCTGACTTAAAGAAAGTAAAGCTTTAGGTGCGATCGTACGCAATTTAACTTTTTTTAAATTACACTAAAAGAAAGCCCTATTCTTTCTCTCTGCACTGATAAAAATGGGTTGTCATAACTACAGCCGTTTTCAAGTTATCAATTTTCAAGGTACCGTCTGTAACCCCCATTTTTTTAAAAGTCAAAATAACGTAAAAACCATACCATATCGACATATGTGTTTTGAAAATATTTTACATCGATTCGGCCTTCAGAGTAATTCTAAGTACAAATTTGCAAGAGCCTACCTGTTTTGCTTTCCCACAAACGTTTAACTAAAGCTCCCCAAAAAAACCACCCTGTATACTTATATTCGTGTATCAAAAAGTCTTTCAGTAAATTCTTTGTTAGGTATAACTAAATTACTGCTGTGATAAAGGCCAAATTTATCCTGAGAAAGTTTTTAATAATCTTTTAGGGCGTTTAACAGTTCTTATGTTTTCTCAAAACTATAAGATTTCCAAGAGCTTCCAAAAGCCTATATGATGAGTCTTTTATACGAACTTCAAAGGCCTTGAAGATCTTTTCATATTGTTAGCGATCGTTTATAATTTTGTATTGCTGTCTGTCGTCTATCTTTTGGTCTGTCCGTCTGTTCCTTTGTCTGTTTGTCCATCTATCTGCTCGCGTGAACGATAACTTTCTTTAGAAATGCCCGATCGCTTTCAAATTTGGTACACATGTTCCAGAGGACATGTTCTTAGTTAAAAGTAAAATTGATACTTATTTAAAAAAATCGTTTTGCGCATGCGCGATCCAATTTTTTTATTTGTTAGGATATTTAAATGAAATTTTCTATGGAAGCACCCCAAATAAAAGTAAAATAAATTCGAATCAAGAAATTTGTTTTGTGCATGCGCGATCCGATTTTTTTGATTTGTGAAGATATGTGTATCACGTCAACAGGGCGGAGGGCTCCAGCCAGACGGGGCAAGAGCGGGCCTTTGCCCGTTCTTGAATGACGCAATATAGCATACTCATAAATGATCCAATATAAAGAAAGGTGCATTCGGAATTATGTCAAAATGGTAAAATTGGACTACATTCACAATTGTGTACTGTACAGGGTGGCCAAATTTGGTTCTTTGTCTCGAAAACGATAAGTATAAAAAAAAATTGACATTGTAGTATCGATATATTTTCTGAGATAAACTCAATGTTGAAAACCAAACTAGCCTACAGTTTTTTGTTTTTGCGTTATAGGCAAAAAGTGCATTTTTAAACAAAAGCCTATAATTTTTTTGTTGATTAAGTGGAAAGAAAAGGAAATGTTTATTACAAATGATTGTTGCATAATCTACCATTTTTAAAATAAGTATGTATACGGGGTCGATTAAAAATGTTATCGTTTAAATGAAACGCCCTATATGTTCTAATTCAAAGAGCCAGTATATTAAATTCTCTTTTCAAAACTATAGCACACCAAGGATGATATTAAAAAAAAGATGTAAGTGATCAAAAAAATTGAAAAGATTCAAAAACATTTAAACAGAATTTTTAAAGAATAAAAAAGGTTCAAATAATTTCTTTAAAAACTTCTTTTTAATCTTAATTAAAACCTTTACCTGACCCCGTATACTTATTTTAAAAGATTGTAGAACAATTTCGTTTTTAACATCGAGTTTATCTCAAAATGTTTTCAAAATGTTATATGCTCAAAATGAACCT